CTACCTTCGTGTGGATACATGATCTGCCCTTGACCAAAAGGACTCTATATCTAATTGAAACCTAACAACAGCTCAACGTCCCTAACAGCAAGTACTGCTCTCATCGGCCCAACCTGACAAATAAGGAAATCAAGGCAGAGGAGCTGGCCAACTCGCCCAAGGCCATCAGCCGGCAGCACAGCCGGGCTCGGTGTGGGCAGCCTGTGCTCTGACCACACCCTTCACAGCCTCTGGGCACCGGTAACAGCAGAAGCTTCAGCTAAGCCAGCCTCAAAGAAGGAACCAGAAGTCTGGGTTTATGTGGAGGGCGGCGCAGGGGTGGCAGGAGGAATGGTGGTATCGATGAAAACATCAGTGGTGCCTCACATCGGGTCCATTTGCAGCAGCCCCAGCCTCCGGGCTGCCTCCAAGGGAGAAAGGCCAGGGCCAGGGCCCCAGGCCCCTGGCTGTGGGTGCTCCCGGGGGCCACAGACCAGGGGCGTCCAGGCCACGCTTGAGGCCTCCTGGGCCCCACCCACTGGGCTAACTGCCAGGCTGTCCTGGCCTGAACTTTCTCGGACGGAGGCTGGGAAGGGCGGCAGGGGGCACAGGCCCGGAGGTGTCCACGGCCACAGCAAGGGCTGCCCCGGGATGGGGCCCCACGCGGACGATGTGGAAAATGACAGTCGCTGAAGTTCACGTGCGGCGGCGGAGCCACCCGGGGAAGTCGGTCTGCATTCGGCTCTCTTGGAAGCAGGCGGGGATGTGGGAGACGCTCTGATTTTCCTCGAACAATGTTAAGATTTAAAAAGGGTGGGGTAGCTAGCCGGGGCCGGCTCAGTCCTCAGGGTGGCAGGAGCGGAGCATAGGCTTCAGAGTCAGAACTGGCTACACATCCAGGGACGCAGTGACCTCTGGCTGTCCCTGGACTCAGTTTCCCCTTCTGTAGCACACACATCCTGTCACCCACCTCTTAGGGCAGGCTTGAGGACCCGCTGAGGGAACGTGTAGACACAGCCCAGTTCCGGGCCTGCAGGGTGCTTGTGACGGGACGTCCGCTGATGACTAGTACTTGCGCGTTTAGCCTGTGCCAAGCCCTTTGGTAGGTGTGTGATGTGGGGTCGCTCATGCAGGGTCCTCAAAATGTGGGCTCGTTGCCTGGGAGCGTGTTGGAAAGGCAGGTTGTCAGGCCCCACCCCAGACCCGCTCAGTCATAAAGCCTGTGTCTCAACCAGCCTCCCAGGTCATGACGACGGCTGCTCAAGAACGGGAACCACCAGCTAACCTGCAGTCGTTAGTACTTACAAGGTCCTGATTTGCCTGGGACCAGCCTGGATTTGGAAATGAAAGACCAGGCCAGGCGTGGCAGCTCACGCCTGACATCCCAGCACTTGGGAGGCTGAGGCGGGAGGATCACTTGAGCCCAGGAGTTCGAGACCAGCCTGGGCAACATAGTGAGATCTCGTCCCTACAAAAAATAAAAATATTGGTAGTCCCAGCTATGCGGGGGGCAGAGGCCGAAGGATCGCCTGAGCCCAGGCAGTCGAGGGTGCAGTAAGCTGTGATGCAGCCTGGGCAAGAGAGTAAGACCCCTAAACAGAAGGAAGAAGGGGAGGGAGGGAGGGAGGGAGGGAAGAGAAAGACCAGCGTCTCAGGAAGCACCTAGCCCTGAGCCAACTGGAGGCCAGGTTGTCCTACCAAAAGCTGCAGCCGCATCTCACCCCAGGAGATGACGAGGTCACCACAAAGCGAGCACTGGCGACCGAGCTTGCTCCAGGGGCGGTGTCCGCTCAGTGGGGGCCTGATGCTGGTGGAAGAGAAGCCCGGCAGCAGGAGGGTCCCGCACGCAAGGGCAGAGGCCAGCTGAGAGCCCCGTGACAGGCTCCGGGGAAGGTGCTGGCTAGTCCCAGCCCCAGCAGAGCAGCTCCAGGCCGAAGCGGGTCTGTGCCCAGAGACACACAGACACAAAGCTCAGCGCAGAGCAGGGACCCAAAGGCCGCACTCGCCTGCCTGCAGCCTCTGCTCCGTGCGGGAGGGAGACGCCCCCGGGGCCACCAGCGGCCTCCCCTAGCTTCAGATCTGGCCAGGAGCAAGGACGCGTCCCCTAAGAGGTGGGCGTCTGGGGCGAAACATCAACAACTCACGACGTTCTCAGCAAAACTTCAGGAATGTTTGAATTAGAGGACAACAGACAGACGGCTGTCTCTCTTCTTTATTACTGAGTTGAGATACACAAAACTTGATAAAAAGTTACACAAAAGGCTCAAGCATCATTGAGATATCCAGGCATCACTCTCGTGTCACGACAATGGCCACCTGTTAATACTGTGAAACGGAAGCTGGGCGCTCGCAGGCGCGCCATCATTCAAGTATCTCTCATCCTAAGTAAACCCAGCGTGGAATTGCAAACCCGGTGGATCACCAGGGAGGAAACCTGTGTGTGGCTTCAGATTTGCTGTAACACATCCTAGGGGCTTTGCGGTCGGCGTTGCCACGTGCTGGTGGGTCACGTCTCCTGGCAAGTGAGACAGTTCCCAGTGGCCAACTGGGCACTCCCCATGGCAAGTGCCATGAGAGGGTGGTGGTGGAGTCCCTAGAGCAACCATCCAAGTGTCCCTTGTGCAGCAAAGCCAATGGCCAGAGCCCCCAGCTGTGGGGTGGGGCGGGGTGAATGGCGGGGATTGTAAAGGAGCCCTCTGAAGAGAGAGTCAAAACAGTGGAGGAAATCTGAGGGCCACAGTGGCAAAGACCTGGGAGGTGGCTTCAGGAAGGGTGTGCTCTAGGGGATGTGAAGGTAGCAGCGGGGGAACACCAGGGTGGAAACACAACCACAAATCCCAGGGAGCTCCTCGGTCACGGTACGGCACGCTCAGCCAGGCTTCCCAGACCACCCCTGGCAGGTGATGATGGAGGAGGTGCACGAGGGACGCCACAGGTAACACTCTGCTCTGGCCTGTCAGAAGGGCCTATTTCCAACAATGGGGCACGGCTGGCCCATCTCGCCTGTGGGAAGATGAGAGCTTATGCTGGCTTGACGGCGGGGGCTGCGGCCCGGGCCTGCCCAGCCTCTCTTGGGCACTGCAGAGCCGAGCTGTGGGCCAAGTGCAGGGTGGACACACCACTCCTCTGCAGGGGGCACCACGTGATGGAACCCAGTGTCTGGTCACCCTATGGCTAAGGTCTAGGCCAGCGGGCCCGCTTCCAATAAGACTCCCCGACAGTGCCGCCCTGGCCGTGACTCCCCGTGAGCAGGGAGTGCGGGTGGGGCCGGCGGGGGCCGGGGGCCGCAGGTTCCCCGGCGCAGACGCTGCCTTGCCCTGCTCCCCCAGCTCTCGATGGAAGCACCTCTGTTCCCCTCCTTCCCACCCGCCTTTCCACCTCGCCTGTTAGCAGCTGCCGTCAAGCTGCACACGTGTCCACTGCAGACGGAGCTCGGGAGACACAAGGCTGGGAGGAGCCTTGTGCTCTTAGTCTCTAAAATACCTATTGCCAGGCACGGTGGCTTGCACCTGTTTTCCCAGCACTTTGGGAGACCGAGGCAGGTGGGTCACTTGAGCCCAGGAGTTCAAGACCAGCCTGGGAAACATAAAGGACCTCGTCTCTACAAAAATAAAAAGAAATTAGCCGGGCACGGTGGTCCACACCTGTAGTCCCAGCTGCTTGGGAGGCCGAAGTGGAAGGACCACCTGAGCCCAGGTCGAGGCTGTGATGAGCCGTCAGAGTGCCATGGTACTCCAGCCCGGGCGACAGAGTGAGACCCCGACTCAAATACACAAAACCAACCGAGCAAAATCCTACTGACACTGCAGGGTCTTGGGAGACTGATGGCCTCGCCTGCAGCGTTCCCTCTTGCTCTTCCTTTTAGGAACAGAAAAACGTGCCACGCAGACAGGCAAGAGGTTTGACTCCCAGTGAGCGCCAAGTCCCAGCAGCTTCCTTTGCAGCGGGGCCGAGTGGCTGGGCACCTCAGTGCTGGAGCTCTGGCGGTGAGCAGCTCAGCGTGTGTCCAGAGCCGGAGAAGCGTCCAGGCATCCTGTTGTCCAGCCGGCGCTCACCCTCGTCGGGTGTCCTCTGCCACCTGCTGAGGGCATTCTCGTTTGCACAGTGACCCGGCGGTCACATCTGGGCAATGAGGCCCCTAGCTGAGCCGCCTCACCCTCCGGCCCTCCCTGGGGGCACTGCAGCTCCTTCTGCCCTCCAGCTCACCTGGACAGAAGGGGTCCAGTCTCTGGCTCACCCAGCGGCACCTGGGAGGGGGGCAGGCGCTGTCAGGGAGTCGGGGGACTGCCCTTGCAGGTGCGTGGCAGCCACGTGTCAGCCCTCTTCCTTCTCCAACCATATTATCATCTGGATCCAACAGGTTGACACAAACTGCCCATAAGACAACCTGAGACTAGGCTTGCTCATCTACTGGCCTCGCACAGGGATGCTTGGTTGGCTCAAAGCGAAAATGGCTTGCTTCAGGTCTTGGTGCTGTTTTGGTGAGAACAGTACTGAACCGTTGGGGTTTAAGATTCAGCATGAACTGGCGTCTTCCGGGTAGTGTTCATGCTAGCCATGTGTTTGCATCAGAGAGGTGCCGGGTAGCACAGGGGAGTGAAAAGCAGGGAGAGACAGAGCTGAGTCAGCCAGGGCCCTGTCAGATGCCTGGGAAGGACACCGTCCGAAAGACAACAAACACTTTTGCAAAGCCTGCCAGCTTGGTTCAAACACGTCCAGGACCATGAAAACCCCCTGGGGGACGGACACGCTTGTGCCAGCCACTCCCCACAGAGAAACACAATTCCATTTTCTAACAGCCGCGTCCTCAACCACAGTCAAACGCTCTGGATAAACAGGTCTCATCTCCCAGTTTCTAGGCCTGGGCAGGGTCCGTCTCTCTCCCAGTCTGACTGTGGCCCGAGGCCTCCAGCTACGGCTCCCATTAACGTCTGTCCTCTCAGCCACTCGACTTTCAGATTGAGTTGATTTTTGGCACTGCTGGGAAAACTCAGTTTAAAAACAACACTTTTCCAGACATGTTACCAGGGAGGTCACCAGGCAGTGGGCCCAGACCCCTTTAATAAAATAACCACTAAAATAATTTAAAGATCTACAAAAGACATCCAAGCTCAGACACTGTGGACTGGGGGCGAGGGGAGGAAGCTTGTTCATGGCTTGTTTTGTACTTTGTATGTGGATGAGCACTTCCACGTCGAACCAACACTACGCAGTTAAAGAAACAACACAGCCACCGAGAGACGGGGAGGAGCTGGGTTGGAGCAACACATGGGGGCCTGGATGTGGCTCTGTGTCGGCGGCTTCCTGGCCTCGCTGGAGATCCGGGAAAGCCTGTGCCCTCTGGGCAAAGCCAGGCCCTGTCTGCCCCTGCCCACCCTCCCTCTCTCCCTTCCCGTGCCGGGTCCTCGGGCTGAGGAGGGTTGTGGTTAAAAATGGTTTCAGTGCAGTTAGGCAGTGAAGGGGTCCCGAGGGCCGGCCGGCCGTGCTCACTGTGCCCAGGGCCTCAAGCCCGTCACAAGATCACGCACTGCAGTTTGTGGGTGCCAGTGGCCCGGTCTCCCCGCCATTTCGTTTTCTTCTTCTTCTTCTGGCTTTTTTCTGGAATCTGTTGCCTTTTGAAACAATGAAGGACAGAAAGACAAAGTCAGAACGTGCTTGGCTTCTCTCGGCTCCTCGTCCCTCAGCCCTGAATCGGAGGCAGGGGAGGCCTGTTCTGGGGATGGGACAGGTTTGGAGACGCTGCCGTCCTGGCCACCAGGGGAGAGGGAAGGCAGGGGCCCCAAGTCACCTGCTGGTCGGAAAGACTGGCAGGACGTCACCGCCACGTTTATGTAAGTCATAGGCTAGATCGGGTTTGGCAGAGTGTGGCTTCTATTTCTGTTTCACTTTTAAATGAAATGACAGGTCGTCAGCTGAGTGGTAAAGCCAGTTGTGTTTATTTTGTTTTGTTTTTGAGTTGGAGTCTCACTCTATCAGCCAGGTTGGAGTGCAATGGAATGCTCACAGCCACCCCAGCATGTACCTGCTGGGCTCCGGCAATCCTTCCGTCTCAGCCTTCCAAGTAGCCGGAACTACAGGCGCGTGGTACCATGCCTGGCTAAGTTTTGATTTATTGTAGAGACAAGGTCTCGCCAAGTTGCCCAGGTTGGTCTCGAACCTGTGGGCTCAGGCAATCCACTCACCTCGGCCTCCCAAAGTGCTGGGATGACAGGCTGAGCCGCCAAGCCTGGCCTGCATGTTTTCTGTTCATGCTTCCTATGTCTGAAACCTGCCCTTGGCCAGGTGCAGTGATTCACGCCTGTAATCCCAGCACATTGGGAGGCCGAGCCTGTTTGAGCCTGGGCGTTTGAGACCAGCCTGCACAACATAGTGAGACCTTGTCTCTTTAAAGAAAAGCAAAACAAATCAAAATGCGCCTTTGGAGCTATAGAGGTCCATAACCAGAACATCCCACAAGCTACCTGGTAACAGCGTTTCCTAACTGGAGGCAAAATGCCCAAGAGAAAATCACTTCGAGAGTGCAAAGCTGCCAGCAAAATTACAAAGTGCAGACTGCACTATTCCCTCTGAGGCTGGGAATAATGAGAACACGAGCTTGTTGAGCAAGTGCGGGGGTGTGCAATGAGGGGCTCAAGGTGGCAGACAGGGACGGGTGCTGCTGGGGCCCTGGTCTGACCTCACCGCCAGCCAACAGCCTCGGCTTCACCAGCACAGAGGCCCCACGCAGAAGGCACGGCGGTCAGGCTGCTCTGCGTAGGGAGCCCGTGGGACACAGGGCAGCCGGGAGCCAGGAGGCAGCCAGGAAGCTGCTTTAGTCACGAGCACCCGTGGTCGCCAAGGCCTGGCCCCGCGCACGCGAAGGAAGGCGCCGGAGACCTGGAGGAGGGCTGCCTATCAACTGGAGGAGACTGACGGCAGGGGGCGGGAAGGAGCCACCCACGGCAAGGGTCTGGGATCTGAGCCTCAGAGTCAGAATGTCGGTTGCGCAGGGGAAACAGCAGAGAACGTGCTGAAATCAGGGCAGGGAAGAGGAGAGCAACCCACTGTGCGCCGTGTTGAGAGCTTCCGTGTGGGGAGAGCACCTACACTGGGCTGGCGAGAGCGGCCTTCCTGTTCCAGCCCTGCCTCAGCAGCAAGGGCTTCCATTTGGCTGCCGCAGGTGCCACCCACGAGCCCGTTTGCAGCTGAGGGCAGGCAAGAGCGCGTGGAAAGGGCAAAGGGAAGAGATGGGGCAGGGTGCCACGAAGTCCAGACACAGGCCCAGAGTCGTGCAGCCCCACGGCCGCAGAGACAGACTCCGGAAGGCCCCGGCCGTGGCCAGGGCCCCGCGTGGCAGAGGTCCCTCCAGGGAGGAGCGGCTCACCTAATGACTCTAACGAGGTCATGGAAGGCTTTGTCCACGTTGAGGGGCGGGTCTTTGGCACTGGTTTCTATGTACGGAATCTGGAAGGCAAAGCACAGCTTGGCCAGGGAGCGCCGAGGTCCCGAAGTCCCGCTCCGCCCCCACGGCCCCCAGGGGTCCCGAGGAAGGCCCCTGCAAGCTCCTCAGGGCTGGGGAGCATCACTAGCGCCTTTGCAGTTCCCTCTTGTTCTCTACGCACAGCGATTTGTAACGCTCCTTAAAAACAGAATACACGCTCTTTTTATATACTTAAAGACAAGAGACTGTTTCATTTATCAAACTAGAATACATTCTGTTCTCACTTTCCTTCAGAGGGCTGCTTCTCCGCCATGGGATGCCGCTGCCCCTCCTTCTCGGCCCTCCAGCGTGGCAGGACAGGCCGAGGAGAGGCTTGGCGTGAGCGAGACTCCGATCCCAGGGACCCTGGCCTGACCCCCACCCCAGCGAGCCTGGCTGGCGCAGCTCCCATTTGGTCTCCGAGACGGGCGCTCAGCCCTGTTTCCACCAGGGTCACGGGAGGAATCCTCACCCAGGGAAAGGGAGCAGGGCCCAGAGAGGTGACCGAGGTGACCGTGGGGGGCAGGTTTCCAGGGCCACGTCCACATGGTGCCTCAGGCCGGCCAAGGGAGGGAAGCAAGGCCCCCTGAGACCAGGCGGGTCCCGCAGAAGCAGGCAGGCTCACCGCCCATACGCGGGGGCTTGGGCAAACACACAGGCCTCCCTTGGAGAGACAGACGGAGGCCGATGACTGTGCTTAGACTGTGGGATTTTGCCACTTTTCATAACTCTTTTCTGATTACAAAACTGATACCTTTCATTTTAATACATTTGCAAAATAAAAGCAAAGTGAAGAAAACAGAGATGACGGACACTTCCCACGCACGGGGACGTGACAACGTGAGCTGCTGTTGGGAAGACGTCGTGAATCAGTGCCCAGAACACATGACAGTCAGCTGTCAACTGTTCCTGCGCGAGGGCAGCGGGTCACAGACTGCTGTGGCTTCAAGCAGCAGCCCCGCTGCAGCCAACAGTCACACAGAGGGCCGGACACAGGGGCAGAGCGCAGACCTTTGAGACCTTCACTCGACAAATAGTTGCACCTGTGATTGACATGGACTGGAAACTGCCCTCCACTGGACTGTCCGATGGTGGCTTTGCAAGGCTCAACACCCCTCACCTCCCTGGATCCACGCATCAGCCCTCTGGGGTGAGCGAGCCTCTCCATTCTGCAGCTGGGGAGACTAGGCTCAGAGGGACGTGCTTGCCCGAGGCCCACAGCGGCCAGCACAGAACCAGCGTTAGAACCAGGCGCACGTTCTGCTTTGCCTCCTGGTCTCTCCGGCAGGTGTGGGGTGCTGAGGTCACTTCAGAGCCTCCTCCAGGCTGGACACCACACTCGGGCCTGTCCTGCGAGGCCCCCGTGAACTCTGTGCACCCCCTGAGGGAGGTGGCCCTTCCCCGAGCCCCTCACACGCCACACTTCTGCCCGCCAAGTCCCAGCTCCCAGGGGTCTCGACACTGCGGCCTGCAGTCCCACCCCCTAGTTCAGAAGCCCCTGAGTCGTCTGGCCCCCAGGCCCCCAGACACCTGCCACTTTCCTTCTGGGGTCTCGCCTCTATCACTGAAGGAACGCTGATGTGCACTGCCTGGATTCTGGGAATTCCAGGATTTCAGTCACAGCAAGACTGAAACTGAGGAAAACCCTGCAAAAAACGAGTAGGGTCCTTAAACTCCACCAAAGAGCGAGAAACGCCAACCTCCCGCATTAGGTGGCAGTGGCCTGTCTTGGTCAGCTAAAGAGGAACTCATCTTGCCAGCCACAAAATTAGGGTGCCATCGACGGCAACTCACACGGCCATTGGGTCACATGACGCCGCATGAAGATCAGCGCGAGGACCAGAGACTGGAGACCCGGCCTCCAGGAGAGCAGCACAGCTCTGACCAGAGGTGAGTTCCCCAAATTCCCTCGACTGCCTGGTCTCATGCCCGACACTTACCGCGGGCTGCTGCCGCAGGGACGGCACACTGCCCCTCCCCACCCGCCCATCCAGGGATGCTGGGAGGGGCCAGGCGGTCTGTGAAAGCCAAGGCAAGCCCTCCCCCGACGTGGGGGCCTGGTCGTCACACGGAGCTGACTGCGACGTGCCAGTGGCTCCTGGGTGTCGCTCAGGACGCTAGGCGCCCACTTCTAACCCTCAGCTCGGCGACCCAGGCATCTGGAGACCTCCCAGCACCCCTGTCCTGGCTGGCCACTCCCTCCTCTTCGAGGCACTTTCCTCGCCTGGCGCGCAAGACGGCCCCCCTGGGCCTCATGTGCCGCTGGCCACTCAGGCCCTCTGGCCGGTTTCTCACCTGCCCACATGCACTGCAGCGACGGGCATCCGGCCTCCACCCTGGGGCCCCTGCCCTGTCTGCACTCACTGCCCTGGGTTCTACAGTTCCAGGTGATGATCCCAGCACCCGCTCCAGGTGGGCACATCGGACGGCCGCCCTAACATCTCCACCGGCTGGCCCGGCCCCTCCCTGGAATAGACCAAAAGCCAGCTCGCGGGCTCTCCTCACGCGCTTGCTCCGGCCTGGCTTCCCGCTCAGGCCCCGCTGGTCTTCGGGAAGCTGCTCGTGTTCCAGACCCAAGAGCCATCCCCGATCTCTCTCCCACCCCATGTCCAGCCTACGGGCACGTCCTGTTGGTTTCCTCAGAAGTGGCGCTGGGCCCCCCCACTCTAACCACCTCCGCGCACCCCACACGGGGCCAGGGTCTGCACTTGGGTGCCGCCACAGCCCGGGTCCACCTGGCTCTCGCCCTTGCCCCCTGCGGACTGTCCTCCGCGCGGTGCCCACGGAGCAGCTGTTCTGCGGCTTCCCTGCTCACGCGGGGACGTCAGCGAGGCCCCCAACCCCCTCTCCGCCCTTGCCTCCTGCTTGCCTGCCTGCCCCCTCGGCTCCAGCTGCCCTGGACTCCCAGCTGTCCCTCGGGCTCTCACCTCGGGGCCTCTGCTCATCCCTGTGGCTGGATTGTTTTTTTCCAGGTCGCGTCCCTCACCTCCTCTAAGTGCTTACTGAGAGGAACCCTTCCTAGCAAGTTTCCCCGGTCACCCTGTTTGGAGAAGAATGTCCCTCTAGCCCACGGCACGTGTCACTTTCGATGCAGTCCTGTGAGCTGTGTTTCTCGTTTGTCTCCTGTCACTAGAAGCAAGCGCCACGAGGCAGGGATTGCTGCTTCCCAGGACCAAGAACTTATGAACGAACAAGTGAATGAACACAGGTGGTCAAGACAGGCAGAACCAATTCCCAGGGAGCCTCCGTCCTGGACTCGCAGGGTCAGGCCTCCCAGGGCAGGGGGCAGTCCTGCAGTCGACTCCTCACTGGGCAGAGGGAACTCGTGCATAATTGACCCAGTGAGGCCAGACTGCACTGATGCTGGGGCGGGGGGCAGGAAGCCCAGAGACCCCACCCAGCATCACCCAGAGGGCACAGGGACATCCCAGTGAACTGGAAAAACAAGGGGGTCTGCTGAAGTTCATCGTGGGCCCGGGCAAGCCTCAGCCCGGCCCTTTGTCAAATGGGGTGATGGTCCCGACCACAAGACATGGCTGTGGGGGGCAGATGACACGGCATCCATGCCCCCTCTCCACCCCCCACCCAGCAACCAGCACAGAGCAGGTCTTGGCAGGCAGCAGCTGACCCCCATGCATCTGAGCATAGCCAGTGGCCGGCTCAGAGAAGAGAACAGAAGCCAACCCCTCTGCCCAGCCCAGCACGAAGCCTCTTGGCTTCAAATGGCTTCCGGGTCACGTCGAGGGTGCCTGGTTGTTCCCAGACGACCGAGGGGGCTTTCACTTGGGTCCACGCGGTCTTGCTTCAAAACTATCCCTTGGCCACGTGTGCCCCACGAGGCCCCTCCCTGGACTCCGGTGGCCCCCGGGAGGCCTGAGGTCACTTCCGAAGGCTGCAAGGGCTAGCCGGCCCCTGCCTCCGCCGCGCGCGGCAGATGCACACGCACATGCACACGCACATGCGGGCGCACACATGCACGTGCGAGCGCGCGCGCGCACACACACACACC